GGAGGGGTTGTTTTCTAGTCCTAGAAAGGTAGAAAGGAAAGAAGAAGATGATGGTTGCACAAACACACAAGACCGAAGCCAGGAATTGAAATGGCAGAAAACCTTTGTGACTGAAATTTTTGAGAAATTGTGACCACATTAGCGCATACTAAATCCATCAAATTGAAGAATCTCATTTCGAATCCTTGAAAAAAAAAGGAAAAAAAAACAGTATCTAGTATCTACTATTTATGATTCTCTTTTTTTTTATATCAATAATGATACCATTTAATACGTGTTTATACTTTCCCACCACCGGGCGATGACAGTCCCAAGTAGTCCTTCCATCCCACCGTCTCAAGCCACTCCGCTTTCTCCATGACAGTGTCTTCCATCATCTTCTGGTAGGACTCCATCCTGAACAGAAAAAAAAAAGCAATTATTCAATGGTTAAACTAACTCAATCTAGGCTACCAGCGTGGCCCGGGTCCACTTGCCCGGCCGGGCTAAAAAGATTAATTAAAAAAAAAAAAAAAAACGTATTTTGAATTTGGTAAAGAATTTCGATGTGACCCTGAGGCAAAAGTTGTTCAGTTTATTTTTCTGCATAACATAGTTTATTTTTTCGGATTTTTTGGATTTTTATTTATTTATTTATTTATTGTTGCCTGGGACCTTCCCTGGTCCTTGCACGGCCGGGCCGCCCAGGAAAATAGGGTGACCCGAGCAGCCCAGCTGGTAGCCTAGGACTTAATAGGATTAATCATTAATCATTAATCATTAATATGATTAAATATTACTATGGTTCATAAATGAAAGGCCTTCCACGATTCAGACCCCAAATGAGGGCCTCAGGGTCAGAGGCCTCTCAGTTCGTCAATTTCAGAAATTGACTAACTTGGCCAACAAAGGCCAAGTTAGTCAATTCCAGAAAAGTCACGGTCGAACACTTCAGCGCTGCAGTCCAACAGGCACCCAGCAGACAGTCACATCTCAGTGACAAAAGTCGCGTCTCATAATGAAAAGTCACATTGAAGAGTCACATCCCACGAGTGAAAGGGCAGTCCCATAGGCAGGAGTCGTGTCTCAGAGGCAGGAGTCACAGTCCTCGGTCAAAACCATATGCTAAAATCGAAAAGTGATGGCTCCAAGGCCCAAGCAGCAGCAGACCTACGGAAATTCAGGAAGGTTCCAGGCCTTGACATTCGAAAGCAGACAGGCCGTCAGTATGTGGTACAGGAACCAGTCAGGACCCAACTTGAAGAAACAGAGGCTGGCACGAGTTGAAGTGCAATCCAAGACTACAAAAGGACTGGCCAGCCTCCCATTGGGGCAGAGATTGCTCATTCGCAAGAAGTGTGGAAGTGCTGGTGCACTTGTGAGCTGTAGTGAGGGGCAGGGCGCTGAAGCCAGAGTGCTGCGCTAAGATAAAGAAAGAGAGAGAGGAAGAAGACAGTGCTGGCAGGGAGAAGGCAGCCATAGCTGCGCCAGTGCAGAGTGTTAGTAGTAGACTTTAGATGGTTAGTAGGCATATCAGTGGGTGTATTCAGAGTAGATCCTTGAGTAGAGTTAGTGAGTGTGCACGCATGTAGGAGAGAAGACACAGCGAGGACATAGCTTGGGAGAAGACCAGCGAGGAGAAGAGATTCATAAGAGAGAACAGCAGTGGGGAACAGATACTTACCTGAGAGCTTATGCTGGTTACTACTGGTTACCTTCCATATGCGCTGATGAGCGCTGGCGACTTGAGAAACAACCCCTCCTCCAGTGCTAGAGGTGCTGATAAGAGCAGACACTCTTTTTTTTTTTTTTTTTTTTTTTTTGAGAAACAACCCCCTCCAGTGCTAGAGGTGCTGAAAAGAGCAGACACCGCTGGGGATTTGAACTCTTATTGCTCTTGTAATTACTTGTTGGAATTCTGAGCTGCGCTGCATGGTCTTCATCTCTCTGGTCTCCAGTGTGAATCTCGTGTGATCTCATACATGCATGTGGTGTGATTGTGTGCGCTCAATGACATTGAACTAAGAGGCTCGTTGCATAAATTCATAATATTATTAATAACTTAATAATAAGTTGAAATAAGATGAATATGATTAAAATAATGAATCTGATTTTGTCGATTTCATGTGGAATTTAAGAAAAAAAATAAAAAATTGATGTTTATGATAACATTTATAAGTTTATCGGAAATGTATTCTTCATAATTTTTTGTGTCAGAAACGAACGCACTTCATAACTTTCAAATTTGATGAAAAAAAAAAGGAAAGAAAAAAACAGTTCCACTCACTTCCACAGAAATAGTTGTATTATCGTGTCAGGAAAAGAAAGAAATACCACTTACGGTGACTTACCCGAGTTCCTTAATATTATTTTTTTGTGACACGGTTCTGATTGCCACAAAAATGTAGAGACAGACCATAAAAAGAAAATAAAAAAATAAAATAAAAATAATAATAATAATAATAATAATAATAAAATCAATGGAGACTTTGAGCTGTGTCTCATACTTGTGACAGGCAGGGCACTCCCCCCTTTCTCCCTTCTTTGTTCCCCCACACTTCCAGAGTTTAAACTTTAAAGTTTAAACTTTAAACCCTTGAGGGAAAAACAGACGCACACAGCTCACTCGAACAGCTTTTAAAATTTAAACACACACACACAGTGTCAACCCTTGTGCTTTATGGTTTATAGCTACTATGCAGAACTACTGCAGCACACCTGTCTGAAGCCCCCAGTTGTGCTGCAGTTGGGGTTCTGCAGTTCCCTTATTTTTCTCTTTTTTTTTTTTTTTGGTATCAGAAAACAACACGGCGCAGAGTATGGCAGACCAAACTATAAAAGTGCCCTGGTGCAAAACTCGGTTCCGGACAATGATGCTAACTAAGGTAGGTCAACCGGACTGTCGCTCCCCAGAATGGTAGGAGCCAGAGCCAAGGGGTTCTGATTTAAAAAAAAAAAAAAAAAAAAGTCAGGTCAACTGTGGCTAAACCACCAGTGAAACGGTTTTCACCCAGTTAGCCTGACATGGCAGTCACAGAGATTCGATCCCTAGACCTGTGCCACAACCCTGTACATTGATCCCCTGTGCTGAGTGAGATTCTATCCCAAGACCTACCCTATACCTGTACATAGACCCTGTGTGCTGAGTAGGATTCGATCCCTAGACCTGTTCCACACCCCAGAATCCCAGATTTGTCTCTAGTTGGGGCAGTAGGACTTGATCCCTAGGTCTGTAGATTAGCAGCTAGGTCTGTTACCGATAGGCTTAGGAAGTCTGTTCTAGAAGTCTCTACGAAGTTTGTCGAGGACTGGACTAGGTCTGTAGATTAGCAGCTAGGTCTGTTACCGATAGGCTTAGGAAGTCTGTTCTAGAAGTCTCTACGAAGTCTGTTGAGGACTGGAATCTGTCTGTAGGTCTGTATAGTCACGTGGGGTCCCAGCGACGCCGAAAAAGTGGTGGCTTTCCGGGAACTTCGGAGGCCGGTAGAGGCCCAAAAGAGGGATGAGGTCGGTGGCAATTGAAACGAAGGTTGGCAAAGGGGGGGGGGGGGAGGGGGGGGGGGGGAAGAGAAAAACGCAAACATTGGCGATTTTTTGCACATCAGAAGAATATAGTAATATACAGAAAAATGATCCCGTACATTAGGTTCTGATCTTCCCAGGTAAAATCTGAAAATTTGAGATCCCGTAGATTAGGTTCTGATCTTCCCAGGAAAAATAGTGTGAAAAAATGGGGGGGGGGGGGGGAATAGTTTAAAATAAATATATTTTCAAATAGTTTTTGACGTTGAAATACTGGGATGCATTTTTCATCTTTCCGCTGCCTTGGGCCGACGAAAAAAGACGAAAAAACAGTACTCCGACTTCAGTGATTTTTTGAGCTCAGAAGAACGTGTCAAAAAGTCTAAAAATTGGAGGGCCCACAAATTTCGTCCTGATCTTTCCAGGAAAAATATTCAGAAAATGAAAAAAAAAAAAAAAACAGCTGCAAAATAAATCGCGGCGCTAGGCTACCAGCCAGGCCGCCCGGGTCACCCTGATTTCCCAAGCGGCCCAGCCGTGCAAGGACCAAGGAAGGTCCCAGCAAAAAGAAAAAAGGAAAAAATCCGAAAAACAAACTATGTTATGCAGAAAAATAAACTGAACAACTTTTGCCTCAGGGTCACATCGAAATCCATTAGCAAATACAAATAATAAAAAGATTTTTTGTTTCCTTTTTTTTTTTTACCTGGCCGGGCAAGTGGTCCCGGGCGACTCTGGTGGCCTAGTCGCGGCGGCAATTCGAGATTATTTGTCGCATTTTTCATTTTTGTCACTCTCCTGGTTCTCCACACTATGCTACCGGTAGCCCTCATGAACCTGTGCTACCGGTCCCCAATTTACTTTTATTTTTTTAATAAATTTGGACCATTTCTTTCTCGATTATGCATGCGTGTCATCCTTGCCCAAGGGCCATGCAAATCTTCTCTTTCGCTGTATCGTTCCAATTTTCACAGACGTCCAGAAGGACAATCCCCCAATTTTTTTTACCGGTGGGAGGAGTGGCGGCTTAACTTGTTAACTTGTTATCCATAATTATAATCAAATCACCAGGGTAAAATTACTGACATGATTTTCTCTAATATAACAAGGCATTCATTAAAAAAAAAAAAAAAAAAAAAAAAAAAAAAAAAAAAAAAAAAAAAAAAAAAAAAAAAAAACCTGAAATAACTTGATACTTCAAACTTCGGAACTTCAGACAATATACAGTACATGTAGTTTTATAAAGCCCTGTTGATAAGGCCAGGTTCGACGTACCTTAACACCAGGTACCTCGACGGTTAGACCAGGTGTATGATCTTTACCCGGCTGCCCTATTAGACAGAAGATGACGTTTAAACCAGGTTTATGATCTGCAACATGATGCCCCCTGCTGAGATGAAAATGTTACAGGTAGTACCTTAACATTTGGACCAGGTATATGATCTGCACCAGGTGATGATGTTTAGACCACATGTGTATGATCTGCACCAGGTGATGATGTTTAGACCACATGTGTATGATCTGCACCAGGTGATGATGTTTAGACTCTAGAGCAGGTCTATGATCTGTAGATGCTGTACCATAACACATTACACTCCCCATAGAAAATGCCTCAGGGTCTATGATCTGTAGATTCTGTACCATAACTCCACATTACTATCTGGGATACAATCCCTCCTCATACAACATGCTGCATAGCACATTCCCTATAGTACATCCATCCCAGATAGTACATCCCCCCCGATTCCTCCCCCCACATGGCACATTCCGTAATTGCCTGCGTCCCACGTGGTACCCATAGTACATTCCCACTGATTACTCTGCACAGGGATGCGTCCCAAATAGTACATCCCACACCGTATAATCACCTGTAATACGTCCCACATAGTACATTCTCCATAGCACGTACTATATCCCCACTGATTCCTATCCACAGGGCACATTCCGTAATAGCACGCGTCCTACATAGTCCATTCCCCATAGTACATGCCCACTGATTCCTCTGCAGAGCACATTCCATAATAGCACGCATCCCACATAGTACATGCCCACCACTCATTCCTCCCACATAGTACATTCCCTATAATGGCACTACATTCCCCAATAGCACATCCCCACTGACTCCCCCCACATAGTACATTCCCAATAATAGCATATGTCACACTGGTACCTTTCAAGTGTGGCCGGATCTGATGTGCCAATTATTCGAAGAGCAAGAAGGCCAGCGTTCGCTGCATTATTAATCGCGACCGTTGCCACAGGTACACCCCTTGGCATCTGCAAAGGCCAGAAAAAAGACAAGCAGCGCTGTCTTAAATTTTGACAGTTATCAAAGAGTGGATAAGCAGTCCCAACACCACATTCATGGAAATGTGCAGTCCAGAGTCTTTTCTTGTAAAGAAAAGAAATAAAAATAAAATGTGCAGTCGACAAAAAGAAAGGAAGTACCTCCACGCAGAGCACGGCAGTCTCTCTAAAAGCAAAAAGGTACAAACGACGGGCATCGCTCCACTACTCGCCACATGCACAAAAGACAAAAATTATGAAATGTATCTTTCCATGTTCTAGCGGAATATTCATTCTCATTTTGCACATTCGGTAAGCAGTGGATGGAGGCCCAAGGGGGATCGCTCCACTACCCAACGTTCGCCGTGTATTGCGACTGCGGCGTGGAGGCAGAGGGCAGCTGCGAGCAACAACCTGATCGATCGGGAAGTGCGATGAGACCAGCATGGAGCAAGCCTCTTTTTTCTTCTTTTTTCCAGAAGCCTACTAGGCTATTACCGAGTACAATAAATAATAAATTTGAATAAAAACATTTAGCAAAACATAGAAACTTCTAAAATGATAAAATCTCTAGTTTCGAAATTTATGTTTTTGAGTTTTAACCTGAGTGGGGATCCGGGCCGCCCGGCTGACGGGAGGAGGCCCGGGGGAGGTCCCGGGCGGCCTGGCCGGGCAGGGCACCCGGTTGGGGGCCGGGCCCCCCCAGCGCAATGACCTGTTCGAGGGTTTCAGACCCCCGTTTCGCTGCTTTTGGCCTCCCGCAGGCCTACCGGGTCCGACTGGCCCGAAAAACGGACCCGTCGGGCCCGGTAGGCCTGCGGGATTTTGAAAAACTTTCTGACTGCTATCTGGCCATCGATCCGCCATGATCAACGGCCACAGAGCCGGTTGATCTAGGCGCCAAACATCCCCGCTTTCAAACATGGGATCGGCTGGGGTGGTCTGCCACTCGCCCCCCCCAGCACGATCGAAGTTCCTCCTGCGCCGTCGCCCGTCGCCCGTCGCCCGTCGACATCGCCATCGAGAAGTACTGCTGCAGCTGCTACGACGAAGGTGCCGACTGTCTGCTGCTGCTGCTACGACGACGGGCCTGACTGTCCTGCTGCTCCTGCTACGACGAAGGCCCCGACTGCCTTGCTGCTGCTGCTACAACGAAGACCCCGAAGACGAAGGCGCCGTTCTTCTTCTTTTTCTTCTTCTTCTTCTTCTTCTTCTTCTTCTTCTTCTTCTTCTTCTTCTTCTTCTTCTCCTCCTTCTTCCTGTCGTGATCGTTTAGGTTTGTGTTGGACGGGCAGACGAAGGTCCTGCTGCTAGGGTAACTGTTGCAGGTAACGACTTCTTCTTCTTCTTCTTATTCTTATTCTTCTTCTCTCCTCCT